TTATTATTATTATTATTATTATTATTATTATTATTATTATTATTATTATTATTATCATTATTATTATCATTATTATTAATTATTAACTACTATTATTATTACTGTTATTATTATTATTGTATTTTCGAATTGAATTGAGCATCGAATATCCGCGAAACGAAATTCCGATGTTTCCTTTCCTTCTCTTTTTCACTCCACCTTTTGTCCCCTAAATATTTCCTTCAAACTTTTTCCTTCCTCCCACCTATCCCATCTTCATATCATAATTATAATGATAGCAAGCACCACCCCATAATCACATTAATATCATTACAATTTCAGATTGTGCGCTATTGAACGTTTATAGCTTTGGAAATAATAATTACGACAAATGCGCTAAGTATTGTTGAATGAATGATTTTGAATGCAACCGATATCAATGTTGCATTACATTTAAAGTTAGATTTAAAAATTAGATTTGATAATCATTGAATTGAGCTAACAATAAATTAGCATTGGAATATTTGAAAATTAATTTTATTTAATTGCTAATTTTTTAATTTTCTCATTTTTGCTTACCAAGGAACTTATTGCGGGTGTGATTTGAAATTTGATAATTATCGCATCGCATATATTTTATCATAATTATCAATAATTTCCATCGCCAATTTTCAAATTAGTCATCATCCAATGTCCATTTTCTAATTAATTATCTTATTTCCAATTTTCAATCATCAATTCCTGAAATATTATCCAATCCTTCATTTTTTATCGCTAAACTATTGTTGAACATTTTATGAGTTCATATCAATTCATAAAAATAATTTCGCACAAAAACAAAAAAAGTGCTTTTTTTTTTCAAATCACTAAAATAACAAAAATGGAAATTTTTTAACTTGAAAATTCCGTCGATTTTTTCCACAGTAATTTTAACAATTTTCCCATTTTTTATCCTATTAAATTTCAATTTATATACGGCCCAAAATTTCGGAACTTTACAAAAGTTTTTAGAAAAATTTTTAAAATTTAATAAAAAAATCAATCAAAATTCATTTCGTAAGTTTCTTTTGTTTAATTTTTTTATTTTCCCTTCAAAAAAAAAAATAATAATAATAATAATAATAATAATAAAAGGAATATTTTACTCTTTTCTGTACCGAACCATCTGCAAATTCATCCAGTTGTGGTTTTTTCTTTTTTTTTTCTTTCTCTATTAACTATTATCGCTTTTGAAAGAATGTCTGAGTGTTTCGGTTCATTAATTTTCAGCCGGTTTATGACTTTCATTTTTCCTCCCGCACTTCACTTCTTTCCCGTCTTTTGAAGTATTTCAGGTTTTAGTCGAATGGTCAATCCAGAATTGATGTATCGAAGTTTGGTTTGTTGAAGTTTCTTTTTTTCCCCTTTTTTCTTTCATAATTTCCGGATTTACTTTTCAAATTATTCACTTATTCATTTTCCGAATGATATAGCATCCAGTTTTATGAAAAAATAGCAATGAGGGAAATTTTGCATATCGCTCTAGCACTCGCTACATGCACCAACGCCAAACATCAAAATTTTCACTACCCTTTCTTTTTTCCGGATTATTTGAAATTTCTTCCATATTACTGTAATTTATTCCGTTTCTATCCCAGATTACTTGACTTTTCCGCATTTTTCCATTTTACTGATCTCTTTTCATGATCTTTCTTTTTCATTCATGTTTTCTTTACGATTAATTCCGTTACTTTTCGCTGATTCACCTTGTTTGGACGGTTTGATTTCGTTAGGAACACTCTTTCTGATTATTATATTCTATTCGATTTTCTTCCGGATTATTCTCTCCATAATTTTCTTCCGGATTATTCTCTCTACAATTTTCTTCCGGATTATTCTTCCTGCAATTTTCTTCCTATTTATCCTAATTTTTTACCATTTTGAATCACATTCTGTGTTGAAAAATTTTAGGATTTTGAAAAGTTATATAGTGTGTAAAATCTTCCTAAATTTTTATTAATTTTATGGTTTTGTTGACTTTTTTTTTATAATTTGAATAATTCGCATGCAGAAAAAAAAAGAGAAGTAAAATTCTTCAATATTTCTAAATTATTTCCAAATTAAAAATGAAATTTAGCATTGAACCTTCTTTTTAATTTAATTTAAATTATTGAATGTTTAAAAAATTATTCTAATTACTTTTTATAAAATGTTATAAATGTACGATGATGGAATTTTATACTTTTCAATTATTATCAATGTAATATACGACGGATAATTCCTAAATAACCGGTTAAAATTGTTGTAATGAGAATTATTATAATTCTATTACTAATTACAATAATAATAATTGAAATGATCATACAGTTGATATTTCATCATTAATTTCAGTTAAAATTTGTGAAAGGAAGTTAAAAGTGAAAAAGAAAAGCAAGAAAGAATAAGGAACGACAAAATTGACAACAACGATAACATACTACGACAATCTGTTTCATATCACGAATAACAATAAACTGAAAGTTTGCTTTTCTCTCATTTCCTTTTTTGTTGATTTTTTCAAAACACTTTTTTTTTTGATTCATTTTTAAGATTTAATTTTCAACAAGTTAGCAATTTCTTTTTCCTGTTTTTTCTCTTCTATTTCCTTTTCTTTTCCCTTCCGAAATTTTATTTTCAGAATTTCATTTTATCATTTCTATCATTTAATCATATTATTCAATTCCATGGATTGTCATTTTTCATATCTTATGTGTTTGTCTCTTATAGTAATTGTCTACTTATCCTATTACAATCATCCATAGTATGTCCATTCTTTTGAATCCGAAATTTCGGATAGAAAATAAAAATTTATAGTATGACAAATACTTCATTTATATAATTTTATATGCAGAACATGATAATTGATATTCTTTTTTTTTTTTTTGTTCAAATTCTTTGAGAAAAAAAAAAAAGATAATCTTTTCATCACTTTTGAAGTCATTAAAAGGTATAATTCTTCAATGTCTTTTTTTTTTTCTCGTCGCATTATCCTTGCTTTTTTGACTATTTTTAAGGTATATGATTGTCAAATATAACAATTATCGCAATTGAACCTTTGACCATTGCTACTACTATATTTACATATGCAATCGTTATTGATACATACAAATATGCATGCATGCATGCGTACATGCATACATTGCATGCATAAATATAAATGTAACAAAGAAATAGACATGCATAAGATGGTAACTTTTCATCCATCCTATCTTCTTCGTTATCACGAAAGTTGTAATATTAAGAATTTTTTTTTTGTTTTTAAAAAATTAAGAAATACTGATCTTTGATTATATTTTGAACTTTTAATTTGAAAAAAAAAAGAGTCAAAAAAGAGCAGATTTTATGAAGATAAAATGAAATTATCACAATAATAATATCATAATTGTTACAGTTATACGATTAATTATTAAAATTACAAATGTCAAGGTAATATTAAAGGTATTTATTTGAATTGAATAGAAAAAGATAGGCAAAATTATTAAACTTTCACATATTTCTTTAAAAATGAAAATAATAGTTTTTAAATTTGAAAAATGAAAAATGAGGAGAAGAAAAAGAAAAAAAAAACAAATCAAATCTTCAGCAAAATTGATAACAAAAAATGATTTGGTTCGCCGCCATATTGTAAACTCTTCCTACAATTATTATTCATAAATCATTGGTTAGTTTTGCATTTTTTTTTTTTTTTTTATTTTAAATGAAATATTACAGGAGTGTTTCTCATCCTTCAAGTTATGTTATTACTAGCGGCTACTGTGTTCGAATTATGGATAACATTATTGCGTTTTTTGTCGTACCATTAATAACATCAGCAACCATATATAATATAAGTTGGATATCGACAAATCCGTTGTTTGTTTCTTTTCTTTTCTTTTTTTTTTTTTTTTGCAAAATTTTAAATTTGTTTAATTTATTTTGAAATTTAGAATAAACGGAATGATTCGATAAGCTTGATATTTTTGCATTCTTAGGATATAGCTAAACGGATAGATAGCTAATTACAATTATTGTTTTAATAATTCCAATAAGGTTATTATTTGGAATGAGATAACAATGAATAAGCTGAATTAATCAAATCATACAAATTATCAATTAATGATGAATGGATTTTATGAAGCTTCGTATTTGCTAATAATAATCATATGAAATTTGTTGTTTATCATGATATGAGGATTCTGATTCATTGTTTTTTTTTCCCTTTCCACGTCTCTTTGTAAAATTTGACAAGATCAGATTCTAGAATTTTTTATGTAATATGATTAAAAAGAATGGGAAAAGACAAAAAGCTTTTATTATTCGCATTTTAATTGGTATTCCTTAAGAGAAAACTTTTTTTTCTTTTTTTTTTTTTAACAATTATTTTCATTGTAATTTAATTTTCAGATTCTCAGAACGCAACAATATTCCATTATTTATGGAAAATTTGAAAATGAACGATAGGATACGTTTTAGTTGTTCAACAAATGACACTGAACATACAGCTATTCATAGGGTTAGAATATTATCGTTTACTTATTTATTTATTTATTATTTTTATTTATTATTTATTTACTTATTTATTTATTTATTATTTATTGATTCTTTTTTAACACAAAATTTATCAAATTATTGTTGTGATTTAAATTTAAATTAACATTTCCTTTAATATATCATCATATTTAACTCATCTATTGCATACAGGTGAATGAGCATGCAGCTGTTGATTGTCGTGGTCCAGCAAAATTTGTGGATTCTTTAATTGGTACATGTACAAAAGCAAATGATTCAATTATAATTCGTTTACGTGAAATACCAATGCTTCCAAATGAAATGTCATATAAACCGAATCATGATTATTTTTTTATAAGTTTGTTTTTGTTGTCTTTTTTTTTCTTGTTAATTTTTTACCTATTTAGGATTTTTAATTTTTGCAAATTTAATCGTTTCATAAGCTTGCTTGCAATATTTTTAAATATTCACTTTTTTCTTTTTCTTTTTTTGAATAACTTCAAAAATAAATAATTTTTTTCTTCTGAACTTATCATAAGAATTTAGTTTTGTAATAAGTTGAAAATGTAACATACATTTTGTAGTGCTTTCAAATTTTCAATAACTGATCAAGTTAGTAATAATAGCAAATCATTAACTGTTTTGGTATAAATCTGGTTACATAAGCCAAGGTCGTTATCACCATCATCATCATCATCGTCATCATCATCATTACTATTATTAATGTTGACAATACAAATATATACATACGAACTTATACATACATACATATACATGCATAGATAGCGCACCATTATATTTATATGTATAATCATGACTAAATGAAATGTTCATTCAAGCGGAAATTGATCGACTTTAACCTTCTCTTCACCTTTTCATTTTATGCTGCTAAAATTATGATAATCATTTATTGAGGGATTTATGAAAAGATTTATAGAAATTGTAATGCTATCCCTCTGTTTTTTAAATGAAATAATAAATTACTGCTTTACATAAGATGACAATTAGATGTAAATAATTATCAGAAAACTGTCTAATTAACTATTTCTTCAGATCAAAATCTATTTTAAATTTAAAATGGATAAATTTCAGCAACATCTACTGGTGATAAAGATGGTTTAGAGAATGGTGAGGGAGGTCTTTGTCGAACGAAAAATATGAGGTTGAAAATTCGAGTGAAATCAAAATGGACAGATGTTAGTCAAAAAAGTAAGTTTTATTAACATATCTGAAATAAATTTGGAAAATTTTTCGCTTTAAATTTCATCAATTTACAACAAAAATTATCCAAATATTTTGCATTGTCTCCATACTACGATATTTTAATTATATTTCCAGAAATGATTTTTAATCTATTCATTCATCTTCTTTTCAGACCCGGAATTTACTGCCAAAAATGGACCAGTGATGATGATCCCGGTGAATTCAGGACAATATGCTGTCCCTGTTGTTTACGTTCCGGTAAGCACTGAAATTTGCATATGAGTTTTTCTTTTTCTTTTTTTAAGTAAAGTAAGAAATATGGTCTACACAGAAATAAGTCTTAAATTTGTCGTACTATGTTTGCTATCAAATAACTATTTAAAATTTTAGGTAGCTGCATCATCCGAAGTTAACGAAGGTGATAGAAAAAAATCAGTATTTCCGTATCAGTTGTATTTTGGAAATGGACAGTTTCGAATCACTAACTCGAACATAGAAAATTTAATACCTCGAGCAGGTATTTTTTTCGAAACAAACATTTTTCCTTCGTAATTTTTATTAATAGATGATGATATGTTATAGGAATGAAAATTTGTTTTTTCAGGAATTGGTACTCATTCATATCCTCTTAAAAATTTGATGATCACTAGCAGTAATGGCGTATTACAAGATAGTAAGATTTCATTTTTAAAATACTTATTATATTATTTTGGAAAATTAAACACTGAACATTTCATATAATCTAGTAACACTCATTTAATTCTAGTATATTTAATCGCAATCAAATAAGACTTAAATATAATTCATTGAATTTAATCCGGTATTTTTATTGCAGAATTACGATTTGATGCTGGAGATCAACCTAAAAAATTCGAAATTCCTGCATTTACAATTAACTCAAATGGATATATTGGAGCAAAATTTCTTAAAGAGAAAGACAACGATTTTGAAATAGAATATATGGATTCTGCCAGTAGAAGTAAGTTAGAATTTGTTTTCCCTAAGCAGTATTTCATATGTAATTTTAGGGTTAAAATATTTTTACAAACAAAAAAAAAAAAAATTGAATTTGTTGAAAGATAATCATCGATTACAGTAGAAACGAACTTTTTTTTTCTAAGTACAAACTCTTTTATATTTTGTGAAGTATTTGTAGAAAATCTGTATGTATAGTGTTGTAAAATCTAGTAAACAATTAATTGCAAATATTTTTTTGGATAATTATATCAGAATTAACATTGGATTATGTGATAAATAACAACGTAGTTTTCCGAGAAATTGAAAAATAACATATGGGTTTATATTTTGATTACCGCAATATTTTAATTTTTATTTTTAGGAAAATGTGAAAATTTTGGAATTATGATGGGAATTACAATTATCACGAGTTGTATTATGATCACAAACATTCTTTTGTAACGTATTAACTTTTATCATTCCTTCAAATTTACTATTTATACAATTCTTATTTGTTATCTCTCTTGCATGGTATACTTTTGCTTTAAATTATTTTATTTTGAATTTTTTCTTTATTATCTTACAAATATTTGCCTTGATGTTTAATTATTTAATTGAACTTATTTGAATTTTGTAAACATTCTAAGCATTTCTTTTTTTTTAGTTCAATTTTTACCATTTCATTCATTCTTGCTGCTTTTCCTTATCCTGTTCTATTTGCATGTTTACTCAGCAGCAATATTTTTACTTTATTAATTTTAGTACAAATGAAATTTTATTATAGCTAAAAAAATTTTTTTAAACACTTTATAATAATACTTGTAACTATTTTTGATATAACATAATTATTAGATTGTTCCATTAAATTAATTTAATTAAATTTGATTTTGTTAATTCAGTAAGTGAGGAAGTAAATAAGCTATGATTTACATTTATAGAAAATTGAAAAAGTATTGAAATACCATTTTTTTTTCTCGTCTTATCTTTTAATAGAATATTCCATAATACATCTATGCCTGTAACATCTAGATGAAAGTATTTTGAACAATGAAACAGGTAAACTTAATGAGAAGTGGAACAGGTGAAATTAAAAAGATGTTGCATTGCCTGACGTATTTATAATTTAATCGATCATCAAAAAAAAAATTCATTAGTACCGTACCGAGCATATATGAGGATTAATGATGTAAAAATGGAAAAATAAAAAAAACAAAAAAAAAAAAAAAAAATTGAGACCGACGAACTTTGTGTAATGACATATATTTTGACTATCCCATTGTCCCAATATACCGACTCATTTATCAGTTCATTCCAAAAATAAAAAATTATTCTTACCTTAAAATTTGTCATTTCTCGGATGAATTCCAATCAGTTGTATTTTTTTTTTTTTTTTTATCATTACTTATTTACTTACTTACTTAATTATCCATCCATTAATACATTTTTGTTTTGATATTGCCAAACAATAAAAATAAGTCCAAAAAGCAATTTCTTCTTCTGCTCTTCTGCTCTATTCAAGAATAGTTGTGATTTTCTGGAACAAATAATAAAAATGAAAATATTTGTTGTATATTTCCGGTTATGAACCGGAAACATGTAATGTTCATTTGCTGAGTGCTGTAATAAGGAAATGTATATAATGAAAACATGCATATATATATATATATATATA